CTAACTCACCCTTCCTGAGCTTACAAGCTGGGGTTGTTTTGTTATCTGTATGGACCTCCGCCCCCCCCCCCCCCCCCCCCCCCCCCCCCCTTTTTTTCTTGGGGGGGCCGCCGGGGGGGGGTTTCCCCTTGGGGGCGAGCCCCCCTCCCCCCCCCCCCCCGCCCGCCTTTTGTGACTTGGGGTACCTGCAGTGAGAGGTTTCCCCTTGGAGAGACTGCCTCTCTCTCAACCACCTGCCCAACCTCCAAAACATCAGGTGGGCAGCTGAGCGGGAAAAGATGAAGGAGGGATACCAAGAGGGGTGGAATTGAAACATTTTAGCAACCGCTTCTCTGCCCAGTTGCTGGGTGGGCATGGCCTAGTCGGCTTCCTGCACCATGGAAGGGGGGTGGCATTTTCACCCTCCAAAAGTTCAGGAGGCTTTCCTTGAGCCTCTGGGAAGGTGAAAATGGCCTCCTCTGGGCTCCGGAGGCCAGAAACGGACTACTGGTACTTCTGGTATGCCCATTTTCCGCCCTCCCGGAGCCTCTGCATGGGCCCTGCATTCACCTGGCATGATGAATGGGCCACATGGAGACTCTTGGGAGGGGAATCGTGGGGTTGGCAGGGTCAGCCACTGGCTTGGCAAACCAGATTAAAATTAACATCCTGTTCACCTGAAACAGTCTGGACCTATTGTGGCAACAGAGTCGGACGGAGAGGAGGTTGGGGTGGAACATGGGCCAGTCCTGGAGGGCTCTGCATCAGAGGCAGAGAGGGGGCCAGAGCTGCATGCCAGTTATCAGCTGCCTTCAGAGTCAGACATCAGAGAGGCAGAGGAACAGCTGGAGCTTGTTCCCATTGTGCACATGTGCAGAGCCGCCAGAAGAAAAGAACAACTCAGAAATCAGGGTCAACTTGGGGGTAAAGTTACAGGTGGACGGTGATTGGCCCCTCCCAGAGGACATAAAAGAGAAGAGAAAGGGGAGGGGGCTTTTGCAGGAAACAGTTTGTTCATTCGGTCATTAGATTGGTTTCAGGAGTGTGAAGATCTGTCCGTGAATCTCAGAGACTCTGTGCCCAGAGTCTTTCCTTGCACAGCCCCTCATTTGGGAAAATATTGACATGGCAGCTTTCCAAGGTAGATGAGGTCTGTGGCCATAAATATTCCTTTGAAAGACTATTTGCCAGGCCTTGGCTGAAGGTGAAGGAGAGGAATTCACATTTGTTTAATCAAAGGGGTTTGTCAGGACCAGGGCTCTGCCTCGGGCTTTTGGGGGAAGCCTAGGTCAGAACAGAAATGGCTGAATCCCACCCCTGGATACAGGGACATTTAAGCACGTCAGGAAGGTGTGGGATGAATCTTAGATTTGATCCCTCAATTTTTTTTCCCCACCGAGAAGTCAACCTATCAGTCTGCTTCCCTAAGTAGAATGACCCCCATCATCGTCTTCCTCTTTGCCTCTTCTCACCAGATTTGAGGCTCAACAAACCTCTCTGTTTCTTAAAATTTCTTGGACGATGCATCTAACCCCTTCGGGACGAGAGCTGCACCTTTAACACTTTAAACTCAGCGGGGAAAGAATGAGCAAAAAAAAGAAGAAGAAGAAGAAGAAGAAACAAAAATACCCAAAGAAGAAAAAGATCATTTCTAAATTCTAACTTAACCATCTAATCACACTTTTAACGTGCTTTTTAACTCAAATCAAAGTACTAAACCGCATTTTTAACCGCTAAATTCCAAAGGGCTTAATAATCGTTGGCAGGTGATTCTTCTAAAGGGGGGGGGCAGCGGGGGTGGGGGCAGAAAGGGACCTTTTAAATGTATATATTTATATATTTAATGTCGATGCCTTGATGGTTTAAACAGGCTGTAGTTACCAAACCAAACCTGTAAAAAAATATAATTAAAGGGGTTTCTAAAGTAACCAAACCAAAAACCAAAAACAAATGGGAGAGGGGAAAAAAAGGAAGAAAAAGCAGCAGAAATTCAGATGGTTGTGAAAAAGGGAGGGGGGCTATTTATAAAGATTGGGGAAGGGATGTGGAAAATTAAGGGGAAACGCAGAGCATAAATGTATGTGAGTAACTCTTTATTGTTATCAAAACAGCAATTTCTTCCATGCACTTTTTTTTTCTTTCCATCACAAGGAGGGTGGGGGGTATGCAGGATGGGGCACTGTTTTAGGGGTGCAGAGGTAGAGGAAGATACCCCAGAAGGCAAGAGGGGTACACTTTGGGGGAGGGGGGGCTTTTCCCAAACCATTTTCACAGCCCTCTCCCTGCGAAAATTAAGCCTATTTGGATAAGCACGATTGCTTCGTACAGTTCCAGGAAGGTTGCAAACAGATTAACAGAGTTGGAAGGGACCTTGTAGGTCATCTAGTCCAACCCCTCTGCCCAAGCAGGAGACCCTACATCTGCCTCTACCTACATCCTCCTGATTGTAAGGCAGAGAAGGAAAGCAATTTCCCCCCCCCCCAAAGCCTCAAGCTTCTGTTCCACCTATAAATTGTGCACACACGCACCCAAAATGAGAGAAATGACACACACACACACACACACACACACACACACACACAGGCATGCATATATTAAAAATTGGCTGTTGTCCCTTACTAAAAACTTGGGGAGAGATTTTCTCTCTGCCTTTGGAGGGACCTGTTTTGGTGGCATCATTAAACCTGCTTTTCCGCGGACGTTGAACATTTCCCAGCTCAAATGTGTGAGAATTCACACCATTGATCACAGTTGGGGGGTGGGGGGAGAATAGCAGGACAGGAGAAAAAACAGCTGGGAACTTCACAATATTACCCCCCATTGGCAAGGTGGCCAGTCAGCAAGGGCTAAAGTTTTGTAGAATTTGCAAACAGAAGGACAGACTTTCTGCCGATAAATGGGATGTATCGTTTATTGCTTACCATTTATGGCTTGCAAGCTGCCTCTGGAATTGTAGACGTCGTAGAAAAAGAGAATTTGAAGGGACCTTGGAGGTCTTCTAGTCCAACCCCCTGTTCAAGAAGAGAACCCTATTCCATTCCAGTCAAATGGCT